TCCTTCCTTCCTTCCTTCCTTCCTTCCTTCCTTCCTTCCTTCCTTCCCTCCCTCCCTCCCTCCCTCCCTCCCTCCCTCTCTCCCTCTCCCTCTCCTCCTCTTCTCTTTCCCTCCCCTCTCCCTCTCTATCCCTCTCCCCCTTTCTCTCTCCCTCTCCTCCTCTTTCCCCCTCCCTCTCTTTTCTTCTTCCTGTCCCTCTCCCCTCCTCTGCTCTGCTCTTAGGCGAAAAAGGCGCAACTTCAGTAAACAAGCCACAGAAATCCTGAATGAGTATTTTTACTCGCACCTCAGCAACCCCTACCCCAGCGAAGAAGCCAAAGAAGAGCTGGCCAAGAAATGCAGCATCACAGTATCACAGGTAAAACCTGACTTCTTCCTGTGTGTGTGTGTGTGTGTGTGTGTGTGTATAGACGTTTGACAATAGGTAGGTTCCCTTGTGAAAACGATCGATCGCCATTTTCTGAAATTAAAATGGCCCTTCCTATGTTGTTCTGCTCCTTGTTGCAGTTTGCTCTTCTCTTAGCAAACGGGATGCTGAGCAGCAGAGAGTTTCTTTCATGGTCCCTTGGCTTCTGGGTGGCCTTCAGAGGCTTCCTTGGGGGGGTCCTTTCCTCCGATGCTAAGCCTCTCTGGACCAGTCATGCCAACTAAATCCAGCAGTTGAAGTACCTTGAAGGCAAAGGCTGTGGAAAACGCCAGTCTAGACCCTACAGAAGAGAAGGCTTATGTTGAAGGGTTAGAACCGGTCCGAACCAGCTGCATCCCACCACTGGAGTTGGACAAATTAAGGCGGCTCCAGAATGGGGAGATTCCCATCTTCGTGCCGCAAAAGCTTTCTCGGGCCTTCTGGCTGACGGAGGAACTTACCCAGAGAGCGGCTAATTAGAATTTAAAAGCCAGCCTCACATATGATATGATTGGCCTTTGTAAAGGAGGCCTACTCATGTGGATCACCTAATTATGTGCTAGGAAGGAAGAAATTCTCTATGGCCTACTTGAACCCTGTCCAGCATTGTTCCTTTGTGGCTAGAGAGAGAGAGAAAGCAAGCTGGAGAAGAAGAAGAAGAAGAAAAAAAAAACAGCTTGTATTTTCCAGCAACTTGCCCGTATTCCACTTATGGTCATGGGAATTTGAACACAGCACAAGGAGAGAAGCCCCCCCAAAAGAATGATCTCAATGCTCCACCGATATCAGAATCTTATTTGCAATGTGAGTGGGTAGATCCCTCCAGAGAACTGACAGCCAAAATAGACTTTATCTTTTCTGCTCTTTGTCTCCGATGTTGATATTCGCGCTGGCTTGTGGTTTTCTGGTGTTGGCATCTGCTACGGAAGTACGGCACCCCTGTCAGGAAAAGGTCTACTCATTGACTGAGATTATTAGTTGTTAATTGGACAACCTCCAAAATGAATTGACGTTGGTCTGGGGTTTTTTTGGAGGAATTTTTGGAAGCCAGTCAATAGGCTTGATAACAAGAGAACATTTGTAGCTCAGGGTTCAACGGTGGGGGTGCTCTCTCTAAGTTGGCTGTTTTCTTGCAGATATTTTATTATGCAACTATGGAACATCATGAGTGCTAGTTAGAGTGCAACTTACTCCGTGTTTATATCCAGGAGCTCACCCTACAACCAGCACCCAATATTCAGATAAGCAGGGATTAACCCCAGACAAACAATCGAGGAGAAAACAATGCCCTAACCAAAGAACTACTGACACCTTCACCAAAACTGACAGAGCAAGCCGCTGTATATAAACAAGGGAGCAAATTCCCACTCCCTTCTAACACTGAGTGTGTTACCTCGTTTGGTAATGAAACATCTGCAAGAAAACAATCAAACTCAGAGCTACTATAAATAAACTGGGAACAGGTCACACCGACTAGCACTGATGATGTTGCCTAGCTGGGTCACGAAATGTCTGCAGGAAAACAACCAAGTGTAGAGACCGCCCAGGTAACCAGCAAAGCAAATTATTTTATAGCTTGGTTGCTTCCACTCAGTAGAACAAAAAAAGTTGAAAAATTGAAAAAAACAAAACCCTCTGGGTACATTTTATAGTCTATGGAGGAGGCTAATGGGTTTCTGTTTGAGGTTTTCAACACCTATAAGATCAAATCTTGGCTAAAGCCACTGCTTTGGATTTGATCCACCATTTTTTAGAGGGAAATCTCAAAGCAACCATTCCAATCAAATCCAACCCTGGACTGGAAAAGAATTGCACGTTGTTACCTTGAAGGATCCAGTGAAACTCCGATAAAAAGAGATCTCATTTTGTGGAAGGATAACCAGGACAGATGTCATTTTTTTCTAAAAAATGTATTATTAACAAATCACGCATTTTGAACCGGAGATAGCTTGGTAGACCCATGGATGAGTTTTTAGCACTTTTGACAGCATCAAACCTGGACAGCATTTCAAGATCTCTCTTGTACATTTGGTAAAACTTAAACCATCTTTAAACAAACCAAGCCAAGAAGGTGGTGTTTTTAAAAACAAACAAACAATGCCATCGTTTCTATCATTTTTCAGAGCCAGGACCCGATGGTTTAATTAGGAGCACTTTGTCAAGCTCTCAACCAAACAAGGGGAAATATAAGTTGAAGGTCTGGTTATCTGGAGACTCTTCCCTTTTTTCTCTTTGATATTTGGAGGGCAGCGTGTTTGGGTAGCCGTCCTTTCCATCCAAGATCAAACAAGTCTGCTTCTCCCCAAAGTTGTGCATCTTCCCGACTGAACAATAATTTATGGCCTTTTTGAAAATTTAGCATTGCAATTAACGTGATGAATCAGTGCGAGGGTATTGTTTTGAAATGTAATACACAGTTAAGCCCAATTAATTAATTGGCTTTCAGCGACTGGGAGCAGAGTGATGTCGGTTTGGGCTTTTGAATGCGCAGCTAGTTTGTTTAAATGAACAATGGAGCACCGTGCATAGATGTATCTATTCATCCTCCCTTCCACCCTCCACGCTCCCCCACCCCCAAAAATAAAACTTCTAATATCCCTGAAGGAGACAAAAGCTTGGTCATTGCCAAGAAAACATGAGACCCAATGCATGCTTTGCTCATTGTGGGGCCAGGCGTTTTTTCCTGAGTTTCTTCTGTCCTCCATCTGGCTGGAGAAGAGATCAAAGGGTCTTGAGCTGTAGGACAGCTGCTAACCTTGGCACTCCGCACAAGCTCCTCTTCATAGGGAAAAGGGTTCAAGAGGCCCAGCGTGGCGGCGGTGGGCTTCCGGGAACTCTTCCCAAAGACCTCTTTTTTGCGAGACTCCCGTTTCCCCGAGAGCGATGCCTTCTCCGATGGGTCTGAACAGGGCCTCCGTCAAGGAGGAGCGTGATTCGATTTGGGCCTCTTTATTGACTTCTTGCAAGCCGTGGCCCAGGCCTGTTACGTTTTGCAATTACTTTATACTTCTTGGAAAGACAAGAGGGGGGGGAAAAAGGGGCCATCTGCGGTTCTTCCGCTCGCAACGGCAATTCGGTTAAGTCTTGGCGGTGGTGCTTAATGGCGGCTCTTTGTCATCAAAGGACACAAGTTCCTGGAAAACATTTGCAAAGGGCAAGAAGTGGGTTGCCTGCACGCCCTTTGCAAGAGAAAGGCAGCACGTTTAAGGAGAGGGAAGGCGGCCCGTTCTTTGTTTTCGGAGGGGTTTTAAAAGACCCTTGTGAAATTTAGGGCCATTTTTAGATCGAACATTTCCTTTGGTGGCTCCATCCGTAGGTGCCGCCTTGCATCCAAAATTCATAAAGATTTGTATTTGTTTGCTTTCAAGAGAAAACTTGGTGGTATTATTATTATTATTTTTTTTAAAGTGCGGCTCTCCATCCTTTTGTTTTCAGCCAACGCCTGGGTGTGTTCCGAGGCAGTTCAGCAGAAGAACAAGCTATAGTTTGGAGTTAGCCATGGCTTTGATGACAGTTGAGTCCCCTAAATTGCACACTGTGTGGTTTTTTCCCCCCTCTTCTTGGGCACAGCAGGAAGGTGTCCGTTCTCCTCTCTGTCTGGCTGCCTTCTGAGTTCAGTTGAAGGAATAAGGCTTGCTTAGAAGGAGACGCCGGGATTAAAAAAACAGTAACCGTCGTGGATGTTTGGGGTTTATTTTTATTTATATATTTTTTTACCTGGGACGAGGCCGGCCCTGACTTTGATATTCCTGGGGTTGCGTTGTGCAGGTTAAACATAATGTACGATCCACTGCGCCTTTCATTGCTTCCAATTAAACTTTGCTTGTTAGTTTAACCTCAAGGTAATCCCATCAAACAATGGATAGCAAAGACAACACTGCCCACAGTAGCTACGGATGAGTGGCCATTAATTTTAATTGCCTTGATATTAAAGATTAAGAACTAGGGGGACTGGCAGGGTGGAAACAATCTGATGTCAAGCAAATCTGCCTTCCCTAGGCTGCGGGGATATTAAAATTTTTTTTTACTGTGAATTAAACAAGGCTTTATTAGTGGCGGCCATTGCTGGATTGGTCCGGAGGTGTGCATAAACGCCCCGATTTCTTATATATCCACAGACAATCTGCTTGACGTATAGAGATTCTGCAATTATGAAACTGTTAATAAAAGCCATAATTGGATTGTCCGTAGTAATTATTTGCCGGCTTTCATTAATGCTTTATTGCTTCCTGACTGACAAGGTAATATTAAGTGCAATATATGTAATACTTCAGCCGGTCGCCCTGGGAATTTGGCGGGCCAAAGGATGCACCTTTGCTTATTGCCTTCGAAGCTTAGAGAGTTTTCATTAATTTAGGGGGAGAGCAGAGGCCAGGATGATGGTAGGAAGGGTTTTCCCTGCTTGCTTAAGACAATGAGGGAGCGCAGAGGTTGGGCTTTGTTTCGGCGGTAGCGATTTGATGGCCTGGTCAAGGGAGTTCCAATCCAAACTCTTTCAGATGGACAGATGAATTCATAAGAAGGGCCTTGGTATTCTCCAATGTAGAAATGTTCTTATGGGGTTTCATGCCCCTTTCTCAACTCTTGTTTTGGAGGCTCTTCCAGTCCTGCTCAGAAAGCCTTCAGAGATGCTCGTAAGGATAGCGCAATAGCCGACTTAGATAACACTGCACGGTGCTTGGTAGCCAGGGGTGGGCTTCAAATTTTTTAGCAAGAGGCTCTCTGCCCTAATGACTGGCTGGGTGGGTGTGGCCAACTCGACGTCGCTTCTTTGCCCTAATTACCTAAAAAAAAAAGATAATATACCAAAAAGTTGTTGTATTATTTCGTGCGTTTAATACTTAAATAAAAGACTGGGTGAAACCAGAATTAATAGCAGTGACTGTGAGAGGGATCTTGGAGTCTTACTGGAGTTTCTGGTGAGTTACGTGATTTGGGAATTAATCCCCTCGGAGGCTAGTCTAGGCTATGTGATCTGATTTTCTCCATGGCTCTCCCTCACAAGCGGTGAGTGGATTGTTTATCTAGCTTGCAACACTTTTACGAGGTGTGAAATGCTCTTGGCTGAATGCCCAGAAGTTCAATTAAGCTTATTAAGAGCTTTCCCTGGCTGCTTGTCTCTCTGAGGTTATTGGGGGCTCTCTGAGCCCCGCAGAGTCTTAGCTAGGGGCTCTCCCGAGCCCCCAGTAGCCCACCCCTGTTTATAACAGTTTGCAAGAGTCACAACTTGCCCCCCAACAATCTGGGTCCTTGTTTGACCGAGCTCGGAAGGATGGAAGGCTCAGTCAACCGCGAGCTGTTGAGAATCGAACCGCTGGCAGTGGACAGTGTTAGCCTGCAATACTGCATTCTAACCATTGCACCACGTTGTCCAATGACATCTGGGGTTGCGTGCCCCTTTCTCAACTCTTTCTTTGAAGGCCCCTTTCTTCTCCCTGGTTCTGAACAAACCTGGTTTTGTCTTCCGGTGGATGCATTTGAAGCATTCAAAGGGCATTTTGGTTTGTGGTTTATGTGCCTTTTGTGAGGGGGAGGTGTGGGGAGGGGAGGTGATTTTTTTAAAAATTGCGGTGCACGTTAGCCCAACATTCAGAAAAATATGAAAAGGAAAGCAGCTGGCTGGGCATTAAATCCAGACATGGCACATCAAAACATCTGATCATCCAGTGGGAGTATATAATCAGGTGCCCTCAAATGTTGAGCAAATTATACTGAACCCAGTATTCTCTTTCCTTTCCTTCTCTCTCCTTCCTTTATCTCTTCTTTTCCTTCCCTTTCTTTCTCTCTCCTTCCTTTCTCTCTTCTTTTGCTTTCCTTTCCCTTCCCTTCTCTCTCCTTCCTTTATATCTTTTTCCTTTCCCTTCCTTTCCCTTTCTTTCTCTCTCTCTCTCCCTCCTTCCTTCCTTCCTTCCTTCCTTCCTTCCTTCCTTCCTTCCTTCCTTCCTTCCTGCCTGCCTGCCTGCCTGCCTGCCTGCCTGCCTGCCTTCCTTCCTTCCTTCCTTCCTTCCTTCCTTCCTTCCTTCCTTCCT